TCTTTCCCAAGTAGAAATGTACCTTCCCTTCGGAGAAAATCCAATTTCAACAACATTTTTCTTTGGAATTTCATTAATAATTTCGATTGACTCGGTATCGATAATCTTCACGCTTAAAATAGATAAATGTTGCCTCGGTGTAAGGATTCAAAACATATGATTGAGTTCCAGACATAATCCAAATGTTACCTCTCAGGAGACGCCCAACCCAGATATCTACCATCTTTGCTATACTGAAAGGTCTTTACATTTCCTTCAGGGCTAGTGGAATCAATCAAATACTATAAATTTTCAAGAAAAAAGTTTATATTATATTTAAAGTAGAATGTGACTTACTCTTTGAAGTTCGGAATAGGCTGATAGTCTGGGTGTCCCGAGACCAGTTTAAAGTTACTATAGGACCGATCTGTGAATCAAGTCAACTTTCAGACTAAACATAGAAATCACGACGAGCCGACAAATGATTCAACACAATGCACGTACAGGTAAATTGAGTGGAAGGTAATGCAGCCATTATGCCTAATAAAATTAGATTCAAATTACAATCTTGTGTCAACTTCCAAGCGAATTATTTATTGAAGATAAACAATTTTGCTGAGAGATAAATTTAATCTCCGAATTTCTATTGCACGTGTCGATCGGTTGCACGAAAAATAACGGTTGCTAGCTCATTAAAATACTAACAAGACTTCTCGTGATTTATATTATAGAATCTTTTAGTCATTGGTTTAAATAAATTATCTGATAAATAATAATATATATTTAATATATATATTCATTACGAACTCATGGTTGAGTGTAAAAATAAATCGAATAATTTTTAAAAGATAAAGTATCCGTTATAACGAGGATATATACGAATACGATCGATGGTCGAGAGTCAAGCTATCTCATTATTCAATACAACGAGTGCTTTATTCGATCTTTCTCGAGGATGCTATGCTTCGTATGGATCTTTTACGCATCATGGTTAGCAAAAAGGGAAATTATGTTAAAAAATTTTTTTAAAATAACAATTAAATAAACTAACTCTTGAATCAATGCCTATTATAGAAATAATCATACGTAAGGCGTTCGAGTTATTGAAAACCCTTGAAATAAGAATAAATAAAGCTAATCTTTACAATGCATATCGCATCCCATATAGCTTCAAGTCCCAGTCTGACCCCCCGTTAAATATCTGAGCAAGATATTTCTGGCACGAATTACATTTAAACGTTTTTGATCCATCGATATCATTTTTTTTTACGAATCCACAATTTCCACATGTCTTTGATGTATACTCTTCAGTGAATTCAATGACCTTGTAACCTTTAAACTCCCTCGACTTTGATGTAAGAACATCCGAAACCTGAAATGCGACCAAGTTGGCATTGCATGAGCAGTCTTTATTCTTCCCAAAACAAAATCTTTGTCACTCTGTGATTTGTCATATCTCATGATAATTTAAATATTTTATTAAAATCACCATTGCCCTACTCGATTAATTGACCGTCAGGGTCATAACTGGTTATAAACGTGCGAACACTTGGATCGAGTGAGATTATCACTCCCCGAACATCATCTTGGTTATCGATAATATCCAAAGAAACGGAAACACAAAGTAAAATGTCCCTGATGATTCATAGTAATGTTAACCGCATTATTGATATCTGGTGATTATTCTGAGGTGATAATATTTTTTAGGAGCGCGTATTCCCTTTGTTCCTATTCCAATTCCTAGCAAGAATCGAGATAGTTTGTGTTCGATCCTTCTTTAATGAAAATACTTCCATATAACTTCTTGTTTATTTTGTATGCGGCCAACAATTGCCGAATTACGTATGAACGTACTTCCCTAGGGGTCTCCTTTGTGAAACACTCATCGTTCAGGTAATGCTTTCGTATAACGCTCTGTCAGTGATTCCATTGTCCTACATCATCTTTAGAACCTTTTTGTGCGTCCATCTCGCAGCTCCTATCCAATTTCTTAGCTTTTCTCTTTCTCCGGGTGTTGGGCAAATCCGTATCTTTCGTGTTTATAATTTCTCCTTATCGTTTTCGGTTTCCAACTGATCTGAGCCCATTGTGTCTTGCCGTGAAGTTAGTAATGATTGATAACAGGTCCTCGTCAAGTTCACTGAATTCCAAACCGAGTATCACGATCTTTGATCTGTTCTTGCCAAGAATCCATTCGACAAGCTCGTACGCAAATCTGCAGAGCCGATTCTTCCAGGTAACCACAACCTTCTCAATATCTCCTCGGTACGATCGTTCTAAAATAGATGTGAAGCACTTACGTTTTCAGTTGAGAACTGACCCAATGTTTCTGATGAAATTCTTGTCTGACCATTTCTGTTTGAGGTACTCACATTGCCTGTCAAGATCCTCTTCTGTTCACCTGAGCTAACTCTTGCGTAATGAATCTTTTTCTTTTCATTTATCCTTTCTTAATAAAACTTCATATGTTTTTCTGATCTCTCGTGCTTCACGATACTTTATTATTGACATAACTTGCTCAAACATACGAAAACAAGACTTATTTAACTTTATAGAGAAGATTGAATCATCAACAATGGTGTAATAATGATAATTCAAACACTAGTTGCCATCATTAAAAAATAAATTAATAGAAAATAATAGATTTAATTATTAATATTGTAGTACTATTTACACATCCTATTAATTGAACAAAATATTTTATTATAATATTCGCTCTTGCAAAACTTTATTGTAATGATATTAAAATTATTTTGAATAATGTCGAAAATTAATCATATTTCTGGTTGGCTATTGTTATCAAAATGGAATTGGAATTAAAAAAGGATGAGCGTAAGGCATTTGAATATTTTCAAAAATCAGTAGAGATGGGTAATGCATCGGGAACGTATAATGTTGGCTGTTGTTATACTGTATCAATGGAATTGAGATTGAAGAGAATGAATATAAAGCATTTGAATATTATCAAATTCAGAAGGAATGGATCGTATACGGTAAATGGAACCTATAAGGTTGACCATCGTTATCTCAATGGAATTGGAGTTAAAAAAAGGATGAACATAAGGTATTCAAATATTATCATATATTATCATATAAGGATTATGTGTACGCAACATTTAATGTTGGTTATTCTTATTGATTCGGAATTGGGGTTGAAATAAATGAACATAAGGCGTTGGAATATTTTCAAAATTAGCCGAGATGAGCAATTTAGCCGAATGTTCGCGGTTGCTGTTTTTTTATAGAAATGGAATTACTGTATTTTAATTTATTGTCATAGTTGCTATATATTAACAACTAATTGTAAATGAGAAAAAAAATCAATTTTTGAATAAACATGGTAATATTATAATTTATCATTTGTCTTATTATTTAGAATCTAATGATCCGTTCATTTAGCTTTGAATGAACAAATATTCAAAACTCGGATATTTGTAATGGAACAAGTGATCACAGATTAAAGATGGATTTCAAAATCATTTTACATATAAAATTTTGTAGATCAATTATATATTTTTTTGAAGAGAACATAACTATTTTATAGAAATATAATTTAAAAAATATTTAAATTAAATAATCTAAATTGCAAAAAATCTTTGTATATTTTTTTTAAATAGTAAGAAACATTTGAATTATGTTTTTGTTATTAATTTAAAAACTTGTTTTTACTATAAATTTATAATCTATTTTACTAATAATATTAGTTCAAATTATATTATTATATAATAAAAAACAAATATTTTTTTTTAATTAATTTTTGATATAATAATATAAATCTTATACTTTTTATATATTTTAATTAAAAATTATTAAACCATTTGCAAAATATATATATATTTAATTATATTAACTTATACAAATTAAATTACAAATTTTAAAAAAACTCTTTCCATTAATCCTCTTGCCAATTCAAAAAACAGACATTCTCAAGAATATTTCTTTATTTTTGATAATAAGGTCTATATACTTTCCTTAAAAACATTACTCCCTGAAGGCAGATGCCTCTTCTATTTGTTTACTTTTTCTTTTTCGAAAACTTTGGATATTTCAGTGACAAAATAAACAAAACTTTACCCATTTGGTCTATGGCAAGAACACCTTTCTGAGAAAAAGAAACTTGTAGAATAACATCCTCTACTATTTTCTTCTTAGGTCAGGAATTTTAGAAAGTGAACCATTAGTGAATGCATTTCTCAAGATATATAAGAATCTTGAATCCACCATAAGCGAACACCTTTTGTCCAAAGCGAGTGGATAAGCTAGTTGGGCTGGCCAATGAATATATCTCCAAGTAATATGGGAACCTTGGGTTCACTATAAGTAACTTCTTTGGTCCAGGCAGGTGGATAAGCTGAAAAAATCCAGGTGTATGAATCTTTTTCACCATTTATACATATCTGATAGTTGGTACTTTCAAGCGTGTTCAATTTTTCTTGATTTTTCTGAGAAATTTTGCCTACCTCAGTTTGACCCTGAATTTTTTGTTACATCAAAAACTCTGGATGGTAATTGGTTGAAATCTTGGATTGATTGATCAACAAGTAAAAGAAATATAAATAAAATATGTATCCACATGTGCTCTGCATCGTATTACACTATAACCAATAATGTAATTGGATAATGCGAAAGAGCAAGGTAACAAGGTGTTCTCTTGTTAAGAAGTGTTTGAAAGTTTTTTTCCTCTCCTCTTGCACTGGTTTCTTTTTTCCTCAAGATCAAAGAAGGCTCTTATTAGGCTGGTGATTAGTATTGATGGGTTTTTATTTTATCAGTACAAACTTTTCTCCTTTCTTTTTTATTTTTTCCCTTTTTTTCTTAAAAAAATAAAAATTTTTTGTCTTAGGATCACAAAGGTTAAGCCGGAGTGACAGTCCTGATGAAGGGCTGGCTTTGAGATTTTAGAATAATAAGGAATATTTTTCTTTAATTGAGTAACTTGTTTATCTCCCTTAATCACATCTAGAGACCATTTGGTTGCTGACAGGTATGCTATATAAGTAAATAGTTTAACCAGTAGTATATGTATGTTTATGCGTAATGTTTTTTAACATTTGTACTATGGTAAAGACCACCAAGTCAAAATAAACTTTAAATACAGTCTGATTAGATGAAAAAAAAAATTAAATTAAATTAAATTACAAATTTTAAATTTAAAGTACTTTTAATTTTAATCAAATAAAATTTTTTTTTAAATTATTAATTATAATATTTTATTTATTCTTTTTTATATATATAAATTAAATATATATTTATCAAACTTATATTAAATCTTTTTGTATAAAGAATAATCAAAATTATAATTAATATTGATTTTACTAAAGTAATAATAACAAATAATAATATTAATTAAAAAAACAATTTTATTTTTTTTTAAAAAAATCTTTTATAACTACTTATTATATAAAATTTAAGAAAATTATAATTTGAAATATTCTATAAGCTATTTATAATTCTTAAAGTTTAATAAATTGTTTGATAATCCTAAAGTTACAAAAAAATTAATAATCAAACAAATAGTTATTAAATATATTAAATTATAATATAAATAGTTAGATTTTAAACAAATATAAATTATAATTTAAAAAAAAATCCAAGTAGTTTATATAATAAATAATTTTTAAATTAACAAAAAAAAATTAATTAATTATAATAAATAGTTAAAACAAGAAATATAACAAAATATATCTAAAAACTAATAAAAAAATATTATTAAACTAAATTAAAAATATTATTTATTTTTGAAAATTTGATTAAGTTATAAAGATTAAATCAAAAATAAAATTCAATAAAAAATTCAAATAGTTTTATTAAATCTAAAAAGAAAAATAATATTAATATATATATATAATATATAATAAATAAGATATTTATATTTAAAATTAATATAAGATATAATAATTATTTTAATTATAGATCTGTGGATCCATAGTACAGTGGTTAGTACTTTACAGGTCAGATTATAAGATATCAATTCAATTCCATATAAAGGTGATTAAATAGATTAATATGATATCTGATACCATAATCAATTATGTACTATTTCTTATAAAAAACCATTTCATACGCTAATCCAGCAGGTGTTGAGATTGTGATCTTCCTATTAAGATGTAGTGATATGATGATCATCCAGTTGATATTATAATGATTGTCTAACGAAAAAGTATCACCACTCATTTGGATGTACAGACTGGACTATACTCTATCTTAGTCAACCCTTACTAATTACCAACCACAATCACTTATTTGGATATATATATTGGGCTGTACTTTATCTTATTTAATCCCACATGATATATTCTTTTCCTGTTAACTATCAAATAAGAAAGCTTTAAAAAAGAGCATTGTATTGACACCACTTTTGTACGACAGTACTAATTAATAATTTATGTGAGGAGTTGCATCCTGCTTAACATTTATATCCCTAGATTTGGCAGCCTAAGTCAACCAGATCTGCATGAAGTGTCTACTAGGAGATTAAAGAATTTCTTGAAAGGAGGAGGTCCCAGAAAAGAAATTCCTTAAGGAGTTGCATCCCATTTAATCATAAGAGCCCCTGGATTTGATAGCTAAAAGCCAACCAGTAGTCAAACCCAAAGCAATTTACTAGGGAATACATCACATAAGAGTTTTCTGCCATAAGATTAGGTAAGTGAAAAGATATGATATAATAAGCAACCTTAGGAAATAGTTAATAGGATTTATTGCCCTTATATAAATATGAACCGTAGAGATGTTAATCGGTCCATCTGGTCCAATCCGGTCCAAGGACTGGCAATCCTAGACAGGATTGGATCGGATTACGGTCCAAGGACTCAGTCCATTGGACGATCCAAAATCTATTAGATAGTCCTTGGATGGTCTGAGATTGGATGATCCAGGATCTATTAGACTATTGTTGTGCTCACAGTAATGATTTTTTTTTTTTAAATCAAGGTAAGTAATCGAATAGTGAAAATGAAATTGTTATTAAATGATCGGGCTAATATTACATATTTTATTTTATAACATTTGTTAGAATTTTTGAATAATGATAAAAAAGTGTGACAAAAATAAGTGGTGTTAGTTTGGAATGGGCGGAGCAAGGATCAAGGTAAGTAACGAAAACTGCTACTAGGCGATTGCGAATAGTACTAACTTTATGTTTATAGTATTGTAGAATAACAATGACTGAAATACTGAAAACTAGATAGAGAAAGTGCGACAAAAATGAGTGTTATTTAGAATGGGTGAAATAGAAAAATAAGGATCGAGGCAAATAGATAAATATGTGTGACGAAAATTAATTAGAAAAGCATGAGAGGAGTAAGGGTTGGAATAATTAAATAGAAAACATATATATGTAATATTTATCACATTAATAAACAAATTTTTTTTTTCGCTTGTCATTTTGTTCGCTCAACTTTATTTATTTTTTAATCACACAAAACCAGCATTATAATCGAAACTATAGATACTATAATAACCAGGTTCATAAGAATCATCGTAATCATTTTCACTACCGCCATCACTACAAAAATTGTAATTACCCCAATAACTAGACTCACGGTCCCTCTATCCTTACCACAAGTGCTATAGTTAATTTAATAATTAGAGCCCCAACAGTCACAATAGTCATATACACTCTCACTATCGCCACCACCAAAGAAGCTAGCAATATTATGATTCTGGCAGCCACCGCCATCTCCGTATCATACTTACGTGTTAAAAAAGGATTCATTTGTAATCCAACTCTTGAGACAAAGTGAAGCACGAGCAGTTTCACCTTCGATTCTGTTTCGTACTGCACTTATTGTAGTTTCGCTACACTGAATATTGACTCAGATGGAACGCTAGATGCTGGGATCGCAAGATAATCCCGGGCTAGGCATGCAAGTGTTGGGTAATTGTCGAAATTAAGCTTCCACCACTCAAGAGGGTTAATATGGTCTGCTTCAAGTGAAAGTTGGAAATACTGTTCGATTTCGTGAGTAGTATATTGGTTACTAGGTGTCGTACTTTGAACAAGAGCTCGAAACTTGCTACATGTTGAAATCGGCCTAGGCGGTGCTACTTGTATATTATTTAGATTGTAATCATCGTATAATTTTTGTAGGCCAAAATTTGCATGTGACCGTTT